GCGATGTCTTCGTCCACTTCTCCCAGCTCACCAACGGAGGCTCTGAAGACATGGTCGTAGGTGCGGAGATGACCTTTGACATTACGGAGGACCCCAGGAGTGGCAAAACCAGGGCGACCAATGTGACCCTGACCAATGGCGGAAGCGGAGGAGGCGGGGGTGGAGACTATGGCGACTACGGCGGCTATGGCAAGTCCGGTGGCAAGGGCAAGGGCAAACGATACGATCCGTACTAGTGAGGACGACCAACCATCTAGTCACCGATAGCCAGCAATAGTCTCAAGATGTCTCAAGTCTTGCTAATGTCCATTCAGAAGGAAGAGTCACGCTTTCCCCTCAGCTGGCAGTCTGTAAGTTTTTGCTTTTGGGCAGCAGACAGTGACTTGCAGGCCAGCTGCTGATGATGTCAAGTAGTCTAAGTGCAGGTTGGGTCATGCAGTATTGTTGGGCGAAAAGTGTGCGCCTCGCATTGTAGGAAGTTTAGCTTTGCGTGTTGCATGTGCTGCGCTTTGCACTCGTCAAGTGCAGACATATGAGTAGCCATGCACACTTATCTCCAGAGAGTGTGATTCAGTACAGCGGATGCCTCACTCATGTTGATATGTGTAGCGATCTCGACCCGTGTTGCTGGAGCATCTCTTGACCTGCTGCGTCTTTTTGTGCAGAAAGGTATGGGGATTCGGTGCAGAAAGTTATGGGGGTTAGGTTGAGCTTAAATCGAACACCAATCTATTTCGCAGCCATTGCAGAGCGCCGAACTACCGTTCCCAAGGCCAAGCACCCTGGTTTGACACATGGCATACTCCGGCTCATTGAAAAAGTTCATGGAAGGCAAGGGCTTCGGCTTCATTGAGAACTCGGACGGCTCCGGCGATGTCTTTGTCCACTTCTCCCAGCTGACCAACGGAGGCTCTGAAGACATGGTCGTAGGTGCGGAGATGACCTTTGACATTACCGAGGACCCCAGGAGTGGCAAAACCAGGGCGACCAATGTGACCCTGACCAATGGCGGAAGCGGAGGAGGCGGGGGTGGAGACTATGGCGACTACGGCGGCTATGGCAAGTCCGGTGGCAAGGGCAAGGGCAACCGCTACGAGCCGTACTACTAAGGTGCCAGCTTGCTGACCTGAATCTGTTGGTCGCTACTGGCAGGGTGGTTACCAGTAGGGGTTTTGGGTGCAGGTCTTGCCAGTGATTAGGTTCAGGGAAGTCATTTGATTCGATTGGTGCTTTTAAGACTCGGCAGATCCATCTTTGTCAGTCAAGATGTTTTGGTGATTGTTGGGTCGATGCGCTGATGCTGTCAAATAGTGTAACGAGAACTGGTTTAACAGCGGCAAGTGCTCTCTTGTGGCACAGGGCATATCATAGCGGCATATCAGCACAGCCGCACCACACTCAGAGCATCACCAAGCTCTTGGGAGTGTTTCTTTTGCGGGCATTTGCTGTGACGATAGAGTGCAGGGCAGCGTATTTTGGGCAAAGAATCGCACCAGGGCTGTCATCATACATGGAGCGAACCGTGGCACACACCTCGCTTCATTCCAGCAGCGCCAACTATCGCCGAATGTTCTGCGGCGACAAGCATCCCTGTTGGAGCCTGAATCATTCTGGCCGAGAACCTTGAAAGCACATCTTTGCCTCAAAGGCGTCATTGTCTTCCAGGCGTTCTGCATTTCGCAACATCAGTATTAGTATTTGAGAAGGAACCTCTAAAGTGGTCCGATGAAGATCGCCCAAGTCTGATGTCCACCAGTTCGCGTCTCCCAATAAAACATGTTTTTGCTGCCAAATTTGCTGTCACTGTGCGGGTTCGCTATCACAACCCGCCGGATGCTGCGTTTTGCGGAAATTCGGGCTAAGGACAGGCCTGCAGATCCAAGAGCAAGTTGGCGCGGTCAAAGAATGGCTGTACTTTTTGCAGGCACGGCTTCGAGAGAAGGCATTGCAAGACAAAAGACGATCTTAGATGAATTTTCAGCTGCCACTTGCATTTGTAGGCTTTCTTCACGTGGGTCACAACTTGAAGTATCTCCGGCCTTCATTCCCAGCAAAAACTATGAAAGCCGACCAATTGGGCTTACATTGCTGAGGTTATGGCTTTCCGGTCTTTGATTCGACTCCCTTTGAGGTGTTTTTTGGAGGAGACCTCGGCCATGGTTGTGGGAAAGCGGGTTTCCAAGGCCACTTTCTGTGCTTCAAAGCAATCAATGGGATTCACCCATGGTATCAGCGGCATTTCCAACACTCTCAGAGTCTCAGCGCTCAAAACCAGACCAGAGCAAGAGCCAGCTTCAGGTGGATGAAAACCTTCAGAGCCTGGATGACATCAAGGTGAGCACGGGGGTTTTCGGCTAGCCCCCCGTTTGGGGAATGAACCACCCGATTTATGCTACGTGTAGCGGAGGTTACAAGCTCCTCGCAACAAAGGGCTGTCGGACCGGGAGAGTCCAAAAGCAATACAGTACTGGAAGTTGTCAGATCAAAGCAGGTTGGTTGGTTGGTTGGCTGGCTTGCCGCATCCCTGCCATCGGGGGCTGGTTTAAGTTAAGGGGGGTTTAGCTGGCTTAGATCTTCATGCGGGTGAGTCTTATCGTGGTTTGGGGTTGATTTAGGGCTGACTTCCAGGCTGCTCTCGGGCTGGCTTAGGGTGGGATTTGATTTGGGGTTTTCGCCCACAACTCACGCAACAACACTCCTAAAGCAACCCTAAAGGCACTGTTTTTCCAGCAGCACGCCCAACACAAATCAGATCCGACAGCAGCCCCAAGACCCACCCGAATGAAGACCTAAGCCAGCCTAAACCCCTTTTAACTTAAACTAGCCGCCCCCAGCAACTCCCAACTGCCTCCTAATCAGAGCCAAATAGGCAACTCCCCGGCCAAGTGATGCTGGTGATGCTGAAACCAGCCCTAGAAAAACCCAAGCCTTAAAAAATACAGAAACACCCCTACCCCCTGAAACATGGTTGGACCAACCCTGTTGGTGATAAATCCCCACCTAAATGATCTCCCCCACAGGCTCCCACATTCAATTCACACCCAGATGATTGCCTGGGGTTGTTGCCTCCAATGGGCACATTTCACCGTTCTTTGACACGTGGAGAATCCAAGATTTTGTTCCAAGATTTTGTTCCAAGTGATTTGCGTAGATACTGTGCGCACGTGTGATAATTGTCTTGGCCATCGGGCTAAAGTGTCAATGTCAGGTTGATCTGACATATGTGGGCCAAGGTTTTGTGTAAGGGGATTTTGTTTTGTGTCCGCGGCTTTGCGCTGGGCGAGTTGGGCTGTACCGGGGGACGAGCCCTCATTTCCCCATGTGTTGGGGGACAAGGTAGTTTTGGGTGTCTACCAATTTGTGGGGGAAACCAAAGGGAAAGCAAAAGGCAAACACTATGTTGACGCCTTTTGACGCCCAACAGGACAAGCCTGCGCAATTCTCATCTGCCAGGTGCGGCTTGAGAATGGCTGGCCAGATTTGGAGTCCGTGCCGGTGGTCTCATGGCCGGAAAGGACGCCTATCCTCAGCGCCCAGTGGCATGAGTTCAGCATTGGGACCCCCCTCCCCCGTGTGCTTTGCGCAACATTCTGATGGCACTGGGTGAAACGGAAGCCGTGTATTTGACTTTGCGCCGCATGCTGTTCAATCGGGTAGCTGGGACACAGTGTGTGGTTGTGTGCGTGTGTGTTGGGTTCTAGTTTTTCATGCTTCATATCCCCCTCAAGGAAACTACACTGAATGTTAGAGACCTCTATTTCACCCGGTGCTTGGTGCTTGGCCAGCGTTTGGCAACACTTCTGCTGGCTAAAATGTTGGTAAAGATACCAGCACCGCCCGTGCTTCTTGGGCAGTACTTGGGACTTTGGACATTGCAGAACGAGTTGTTGCTAGGTGCTGGTAGATTTAGGGTTGAACATTGACCAAGCTTGGCATCATTTCCGAGTTCTCTGACCCTCAAGCGTGGTCCCAGGAGACAAGCCGGATGCAACTGACACGGGAACTGCCCATCCCCGAAGGATGAACGTTTCCGGAAGGGAAACGTAAACCCGGAATTTGAACAGAGTCCCTTAAAGGATACAATTCGGCGAATGACAGAAAATGCCAGCTGATTTAGAGGATCCCCTTGTAGGGTTTGGACTTCCCAAAAGGACCCTGTTGAAAGCAGGGATGCGGGAATACACAATTTGAATTTAGTTTTCTCGTGTCGCATCTTGACGAAGAAGGCGCTCTCACTTGCTACGTTGGCGTGCTTGCGAGATGCTCCATCAATCGTTGCGAGCCGTTGGTTCAAAAATTGAATGGACCCCCATACGGTTGCCATGCGTCTAGTCCCTGATCGTTGGGTCCTCCAAGATGTCCCGAACACAAACAAGCGGCCCCGACTTTTTTGGAGTAGTCGACCCCCTGTATACAAGGCAGGACAAAAGGACAAAGGAACGTAACCCTTTGGGAGGCGGGGGCGGCGCAAAATGCGACCCTTTTTATTGGTTTTCAAAATTGGAATATGCCCCCAGATTCTTCGCATTTCCGCTGAGTTTCGTAAAGTTCAACCGCAGAAAGGGTACCCTGAAAACACCCGCATTGACAGCATATGGAGCCCAGCCAGATTGTTTGGCCCAAAAGTACATTCCAAACAGCAAGCCTCCACCGCTTATTTCCCTTTTGGGTGGTTTGAGGGGGTTTAAGGGGAAACATGCAGGGCATCCTGAGAATAGTACCACTAGTTTCCTGCTGGCATGGCTTGGATTTTTTCGAAACAAATGGCTGTGTGCATGAAACCTGCAAAAGGTTGGACCTCTTGCTCAGGGGGAAGGAGCAACAAAGAGACGCCCTTATGGTACAGAAGCCCTTCTAGATGTTTGCCTTTTGCTATGATGGCGGTAGGAGAGATGAGAATCCTTTGTGGGTTGAACGTTGATCAAGATAGCTTCATGGCTTGCACTATGTTTTGGCGCCGATGTTTATGGTACCCCAAACCTCCCTTTCTAAGCATTTAACCCCTACCGAGGCTTAAGCCCTTGTCATTTGCCATTCGCCGCCATGGCGGCCAAGCTATCGAGGGATGCAACGGAGCTGGCGGAAGCGGGGAAGCTTTGACGTGTGGCAGGAGTCCCCATATCTGTGTATTTCTCTTAGTGGCCCCCTTGGTTGATTGTACGGGGAAGCCAAAACCCTCCCATTTTGGGGCACCTCTATGTTGAGAAACACCCCTATATGCGCCCGTTCGGTGGTTTTTGAGCATCACCTTCGCAGATTTTGGGCCAAGGGGTGGACATTTTAGGAACCCTGTGAGCTTCAGTCCAGTCTTTTGGCAGTTCCCAGCGCCATACCCTTCCGAAAACGTGTACATTCTTTAGACTTTACCGGGATCCATGAGACATCATTTAGGGGATTCATGGCAGCCCACTTTCGAGACGATTCCCAATTTCAATTCATGGCCATATCCCACCAAAAGTTCAACTTTCAGCAATGGATTAAAGCACTAAGGCCTTTTTGAGGCATCACGTGTGGCACCAAAAAATCAAGTTCCCGTGTGGCAGACAAAAGTTGACCGTGACTCACTTGAGCAGTGCCCACACACACACCCTTGGCCATTTTAGTAGGTAGTTCTACTACCTGGTGTCGTAAAGGTTACAACACGGAATGCTGTTTGGTCGGACCTTTCACCTGGCAGCCAAGTCTTCTTTTGTCGTGCGCTAAAGATCAAAAAGCCATCAAAATGAGCCGTGGGCTAGTCTCGTTGAGAGGTTGATCCCATCCTTGTTCTTTCATTTTGTGTGGTGAGTGTGGAGAAAAAGTTTCGTCCAACGACACGGGGCAGGCTGGTCACTTCCGCAAGGCGCGGAAAGGGAGCTGGAGCCCAGCAATCGGCATTCGCCGCAATTTTCCGGGTCCATTGAACAGAGCATTTTGCATATTTTGCCGGGTTCTGAAATTGCTGTTACTTTAGTGAAGGGGCTCGCAGACGCCGGTTGCCTGTTCGCAAAGTTGAGCTGTGTTTGCATGTCAGAAGTGGAGCATGGGAGAGTGATTTACATTTTATGGTTCCACTAAATATATATGGGCCGAGTCTAACCATGCCATTAGAAGTTGGGCAGAAAAGATAAGGTGGATTCCCTCTGCAATTCTCTCCCTGAGCAAGGCCCGGTCAAATGGCCAACAATTGCCTCCCTACGGCCAAGCAAGCAAGGGGTCGGCCATGTTTTGTATTTGAAAGTGTCAGGTAGCTGGTGGTTTGGGCATTTGAACCCTGGTTCTTCCAACAATCCAAACCGCAAGGGAAGCCAAAAGTGTACGTGCTTTGCAAGGCAGAAGCCTCGAGTCCAAATCCATGCCGTTCAAGTCAAGTGATCTGGGCGACGATTTTTTCGCTTCAAACATCATGCTCTGAAAGATGTGAACGTCTGGGTATGGCATAATTTTGGGTTTGACCTTCTCACCTGGGCTTCCCGTTTAGTTGAGGCCCTTCTGATTATTTTTGTCCAGGCCGCAAATGAGCCAGTTGAGTTGGGCATGAAGGTCTGCGTTTGAGGTTGGTGATTTTTTTTTTGCGATTTCAAGAACTATGTACGCAAACAGCCACACCCTGGTGGACTGTCACAGGATATCACCATGTTGGTTGTAAGCTTGGGAGTCGGGTGTTCCCAGAAAGCTCAAAATACATGTATGTATATAGTGACTTTGGTGCCGGATTGTCGTTGCACCCTCATTGCGGCTCCACACAATATGATCACGACAAGAAGAGCCGTTGTACTGGACGCCACGCGTCCGCTTGTGCCAATCATGGCAGCCAACAGTCGCTTTTGTCCGTCTCGCAAGGGGGAAACGTGTGGAGCTTGTGTGTCGGGTTGTTTGTTTTGTATTTGTATGGGGTGATAATTTAAGGAGACATATACGACGGTGCGCCAATATATCCGGAACCACTGGCATCAGTTCGTTTGCGACAGGGGCGTCGCGGGTTCCATGACCACATTGACTCAAATTCTGGGCTGCCGTATGACCCGAAACCGCCGGGTTTAAGTCTATGTGGTCAGAAAATTGAACCTTCGCCGGTATTCTTGTAAGTACTTTCTGGTGATCAAAGAGCCTGAGATAGCAAGTGACATCATGGTGTCCAACTCAACAAATCACTTGAGTTGACTGCAAAGGCCACTCAGGCACCTGAAGACAGTAAGGTCCACCTGATCTTCCAAACGTCGGCCCGCCGGATTCTCCATTGCACGTGTGCCGCTCCCCTAATAAAAGCCAAAACTATGATTCGTCCAGTGTGGGGCACCTTCCGGGCGGGAGCAGGTCTTGTGGAATTTGGCTGTGAGTCCCTTTAAAAGTCCCCGCTTTAGGCGGCGCAGCTTTTCGCCAAGGCCGCCGAGCAGGAGCGACTCTGCCAAGCATGAGACACAGCTGGATGAAATACACGGATTTCCTAGGTGGATACCATATATACTGCTAGTTAGATGGGTAAGATTGTGAGTTTGATTCATCAACACGTTTGATGAATAGGGGTGTCCCACATGAGGGGATCCGCCACTTTGTGGGGACAGACCCTCTAGTTTCCAAGATAAAGAGTTGGGGTGTGATGTGGGCTATCTCTTCTTTCATATCCTCAGGTAATAGCGGGTTAAGAGATAGAGAGAGAAAGCCGTCTTTTCATCTCCAACATTCCCTGCACTACCTTGTCCCTCGTGGTTCATCTGTTACCTCGGGAACAAAGGGAGAGAGAAGGCGAGTAAAAGCCAGAGGGCCAATCAATCTGGGCCGATTGATCTGCCAGGTTGGCTAAACATGCCAATCCGCTGTCAAAATTGCTTCACTGCTGCTTTGATTAATCACTCCTTCAAATTCATTGCCGGGCGAGGGGGGGGGAGGGCAGCGAACCTGGACTCGGGGACGTATTGTAGAAGGAAAGTGTATGCATATAGAAACATATATATATATATATATATATGCACACATATACTTTATATGCATATGGTCAGCCCCCCATGATCTGATTTTTCCGTTTCTCCGAGCCACTTCAGCACCTACACAACTGTGGTATGTTCAGTTGACGTGTGAACAGTGTCATGTTGACGTTCATGAATTTGCATGTGTATGTCAGTTTGCTTGTGCATGGAATGACGAGATGTGCGCAGGCGTCTTGAGATCGAACATAGTTCGCATGGTAGCGGAGCACCCTGGTTAACAACAGGTCACTGCTCGGGTGCTAGGGTTGATGGTTTCTTGGTTCCTCCTGAATACGCCTGTGTATTGATGGATCCAGTATCAAGTTGGACAACCTTCATCGCCGTTGGGTGCAGAACAGTCCGGCGCGCAGCAGGCAGATTTGCAAGCATGGACGCAGCAGGTTAGACAAGTGGCTGAGGCAGCAGTGCAGGCAGCCCAGTTGAGTGCAACTTTGGTACAGTCGTTGGTTGCAGCACAGCCGCAGCCGTCAGAGCCATCTCAGTTGCAAGGCAAGGATTTGGTAAAGCTGCTCAAGCAGCCATTTCGGTTTGAGGCGGCTACGCGTAACGCGGAGCTTTCAGGTTGGCGTGCGTGGTCGTGGGAGCTGGAGCAGTGGCTGGGTGCAATTGATATGCAGTGTACGTCAGAGCTTGAGATTGTCACGCGCGTGAAGATACCTCCTTCCATGGCAGACATGGCTGCTAACAGGAAGCATCGCAGTCGGCTTTTGCACAACCTTTTGTCCTGACTACTTCATGACAGAGGGTTGTTGAGGTCGGTGCCCAACAACAACGAGCACAAAGCATACCGCGTGTTGGTTGCAGATTTGATGCCAAGCAATCCAGCAAGTGGAGCTTTGAAGTGGCATTGTTCGCTTGTGGTTACTGAAAGTACAACTTATGAAGAACTTCGTGCTGTTATTTTGCGTTTTGATTCAGCATATATCAAGTGGTCGGACCCGTTGCCGAGGAGCTCTGAACTGAAGGGTAACGGACCGTCGCCCATGGAGCTGGACCGCGTCAAGGGTACACACAAAGGTGACCACAAAGGCGGCAAGGGCAAAGGAAAAAGGAAAGTATGACAAAGGCAAAGGCAAAGTCATGGGGGCTGGGGGGGAGGGAGGGGAGGGGGAGGGAGCCCTAAATAAGCCCCTATTAAGCCCTTAAAAGGCCTTATTCAGGGCTCCCCTCCCCCTCCCCTCCCTCCCCCCCAGCCCCCATGACAAAGGATGCAGTGGCAACAATTACAACAAGGGCAAAGGCAAGGGCAAGGACAATCATGGCAACAACAGTAAAGGTTCTGGAAACGCAGACAGGGACAAAACTGGTGTTTGTCACTATTGCAATAAAGCTGGATACTGGAAGAAAGATTGCTTTCAAGACAAGAGAGACAAGGAAAATAACACTGTTCGCAATGCGCAGGGTGACGCTGGCAGTATTCCTTCAGGTAGCCCCGTGCAGATTGCGACAACTGGAGTTCCGAGTTCGGCAAGCAGCGCACCATCAGTAGCATCATCATCCACACACAAAACCGTTGCACCAGTCAGACGCGTGAACCAAGACAATCGATCGCGACGAAGTGCTTTCGGATCAACGAAGATGCAAAACAATCTGATTTGACCATATTTTCTCTGACTGAGCATGACAGTGATAGTGGAGGTGAACATGTCCGCATTGTTTTGCATGGTTCACGCGAGTTGGATTTGAAGGGCCATGGCGTGGCATGTGGCAGCACCAGCAAACCGTCACATGTGGCGCAAACGTTGTTAGGCCCGTGGTCGAAATTGATGAGCCTTGCCATGAAACTCGTGCAATTTCTGGTGGCATGCGCTCCACGGACATTCTATCGATTCCAATGCTGACGTTTCACGCCTATACCAAGGAGTTACAGCAATGTCGGCTTGCAAATGCCTGATCGCAGTGGAGTGTCAGGCCACCAACTGAGGAACGTTTCCACTCGCAGGGCAACAGTGCAGATTGGCAGTGCTACATTCGTGGGGCAATTCCTGATAGCCGACGTTAGCGTTTGGATTGGTCAGCACGCGCTGAGATTCAGACGATGTTTTCCTCACGAATGGTGTGCGCGATATTCCAATTACCTATATGCGGAACAGCCTTTGTGTTTCAGGTTTTATCTGTGCAGTGAGTGATGGTTTGGGTGCGCTGGACGCTGAAGAAGGCATTTCAGATTTGGATTTCGAAGGTGAAGAAGGATCATTTGCCGAAGTGAATGCGCGCGCGATCCTGTGCAGACAGCAACTGATGAGATGCAGGACGACGAGCTTCCTACCTTTTGAGGAGGATGAGGCAGAGCATATTGCCGCGAATCGTGATTTGCTTGCGGCGCATTTTTGCCCGGATCCAGGCCAGCACGTTTATGCAATGGCCACAGATTTGCATGTGAGAAAAGTGACACTGGGAGACACCATTACGGCTTCACAGAACACGCGGCAGAAAACGGATGCTTTGCACTTTGCAACTCAGTTTGTTGGCAAGCGTTATCTTGACATTACAGAATGTTTGCCGTATGAGGACTTGCAGTACAGAACAGCTGTGATCAGGACATCGGACGAGTGGAAAATTGCCGACCGACAACGGATGAACCCGCAAGTGGCATTGAAGGTGTTTCATTTCGGGTGGATGTGTTTAGTCTGGCACATAGCAAGCGGATGTCCTGCGAGGAGATACAGCCGAGTGGCTCCAAGCGCGCCGGTGTTTCGTATTGAGATTGATGGTCATCATATCCCTTTTCTTACGCATGTGGGTGATCTCGGGCGCGTCAGTCGAGCATGTGGTCTCGGTCGGATGAAGTTTGGTTCGAGAAGAGGTCCCATCGGACTGGTGACGTGCCCACAGACACGCAAAAGGACTTGCTGGATGATGAGCAGGCAACAGTTTACAGAACGAGCGTGGGAATTTTGCTTTACCTTGCTCACGATGTGTTTGAGGCCCAGTTCGGCATTCGGTTGCTCGCGCAGTACATGGCACCCCTACGGTTGGCAGTATGATTGGCTCAAGTCCGCCAGTTACCAATGCATCATGAACCATGTTTGATTGTCCGGCTCTGGGGCAAGGCGTTGCGTGCAAGATGATCAAGGAGCACACCTTGGAAGGTTTTGCTGATGCTGCCTGGAGTGGATGTCGACAGACCCGTAAACGTGTCAAGGGAACTGCAGAGCCAGCCACACACAGAGGTGCATTGTGTTGAGTTGCGCAGAGAGCGAACTGCGCGCCATGTTGCCGACGACTGGTGAGTGCCTTTTTAATATTCGGAACAATTTGCGCATCCTCGTGCCTACCCAGCCTGTACACGTTCGGGTTTTTTCAGACAGCGCAGCTGCTCGCGGTGTTGCAAGGCCAGGCGCCGGGCGAATAAAGCATTTGGAGGGCAAGTAATTATTTGTGGATTCAAGGCAAGGCACGCTCTGACAAAATCACATGTTCGGCAATCGGCGCAAAGGCTATATAATCTTGCAGATTTGTTCACGAAAGGTCTGGCGTGCAATCGCATCGCATACCTTTTGTATTGTCTGTGTGTGTGTGACGAGCAGGGCAAATGTCATTAGGGGTATTCACAAAGATCTACATGATGAGTATGGATGTCAAGGTACGCCACACACTCGCCTTGCAAAGCGGATCTTGCAGATCAGCATGATGCAAGCCCTCATCCGTGGAGGAGCAAGCTTGCAGCAAGATGAGGACGCCTTGAGCAGCTTTGAGAGCCCAATCATGTTTGAGCTTGAACACTCCATTGTCCTCATTGCACTTGTGATGGTATTTGAGGTGATGGGACGCTGGTCGGTTTTCACGTGTCGTGTTCAGCGCCAAGCGTGCATGTTCAGTTCGGTTGGAGAGCAGACAGATAGCTTTGCGATGCAGATGCAAAATTGCCATTGCGAGCATGAATTTCCACCATGTTTGCGACAAGGAACGGACGGCAGTATCATAGGCTGCGTTGCCGCTGGACAACCAGATGATGCTACTCGCACGACGAAGACCAAGCTGTCCGATGAAAGTTGAAGAAGCGCCCCACGTGCTTTCCTCTTCAAGTTCCGGGCTCAGAGCCAATCATTGCGAGGCCAATTGATCTGAATGTGAGATCCCGCCACTCGCAGGTGATCTGTGGCTACGATTTTGGCAGTTTCTGTTCATGACCAACAAGCCAACAGGAGTTTGTTCATGAAGGCTGCAAAGAAGCTTTCTTTGTGAAGTCCGTGTGTTCAGATGGGCATGGTAGTGTGCCCGACGTTTCACATCTTGAAGATGGTGAATTGCAGAACATGAGCGTGCGCAAGTTTGAACTCTCATTTGCCTAAACACCTGAAGCTGAAATACGGCAGAGTGTGACTTTTGCTACAACGCATGCAGTCAAGTCTAAGTCTGAGGTCGGGTGCGAACCATTTCAGCACCTACACAAGTGTCTATGTCCATGTTGAGTTGACGAGTGAACAGTACACCTTGGCGTTCATGAACTTGCATGTGTGTGTGTGTCAGTTTGCTTGTGCATAGAATGATGAGATGCGCGCAGGCGTCTTGAGATCGAAAGTAGTTCGCAGCTGTAGGGTTCCACCTCCACAGGTAGACAAAACTTGGAAGTTTGCAGCGAATATGAAACACACCAGGTTTAGCAGTTCACATATACACATAGATGCAACCACTCCCCAGGTCATTTGACGCAGTTTGCTCCTCAGGATCCATCCAACGCAAAGCATCAGGAAGCGTCCGGCACCCAGCTCAAACGTAGTTTTTTGAGAGGATCCTTTGGCCTTTCCCATTCCCATTTGGGGTCAGTTAAGAATGAGGCCTGCTTTGGAAGATCCAAATCCAAAAGCTGCATCCTTCTATAACTCACAGGAATCGCAGCCCTGAATTGAAGCGTTCTGGATGGTTGAAGGGTCCAAGAGTTGAGGATGATTGATCAAACATCAGTCTTGAACAGCCAAGGTTCCCTCAAAAAAAGGAACCATGCCAGAGTTCGTACCTCGAAGCAGTCCAGCGGCAAGGTCATTGGTTCCAGCAAACCCAGTGTTCGAGACGAATTTCAAGGGAGATTGGCCAATGATTGCAAGTGAAATCGTGTACGACGCTGTCTTCTGATGAGCGCCAGGTTTTCTCTCGTCGGTGTCTGTCTGTGTGTGTGAGTGTGGCTGCCTCGCGACAAGCTTTGCAACAAGGTCGGCCCCGTGATGAAGGATCCGCAGACAAGCCATTGGCTGGAGCTGCGATAGATGTTGGAATTGCTTGCCCCACATTCTTGACTTTTAGAACCAGGGAAGCGCGGGAAGGCCGATAATGAGGAACCAAACAGAAGCCTATCTGGCAGCCAGCGTGGGTTCATTGAGAATCAGACAACGGGCCAACTCAGAAGATTCCATTGCGATAGAGCCACACACACACAAACACGCCACAGAAAGTAAACTTGAGGTAACATCAGTTTCCACTGCCAACATGTTGTTTCATCCTGTATGATCAATGGTGCTGATTGCATTCCTTGCATGTGTTGTTTTTGTGATTGCTTTGCGCTTGCTTGTCAGACGGATAAAGAGGCTCCCATGAAAGCCGAAACCAAAAACGATTGAATTCAAATCAAGGGTACGCCCCGGACTTCCAGATTATTGATGTCACTTCTGTGTGGCTGCAAAACGTTCAGGATTCTTGGAGGCTTGAACTATTCTCTGTCTATTTGTGTGCGGGGTTGTTTCCTGGTCTGTGCTACTTCTCCATCCAAATGTAGAGTATGGTGCAACACGGACGGAAACTGTCGTTTCACTCAACATGAACAAATGCCGTAGTCGTTTTTGATTGTTCAGATCGCTGTTGGTTGCTTCTGCAATGCGTATGTATCGTATGTTGATCAATCAAGGACCATGTTGTTTACGTGGTTGCTTTTTGAGCATGTGGAACATGATTGCTTCCCCACCAAGCAGAGGTGTGTGTGTGTGTGTGCGGCGTTTGTGTTTGTTTGTACGTGTGCGTGCGTGCGAGCGTGCGAGCGTGCGAGTGTCTGTGTGTCTGTTTGTCTGTGTGTCGGTGTGTCTGTGTGTCTTTGTGTCTTTGTGTCTGTGTGTCTGTGTGTCTGTGTGTCTGTGTGTCTGTGTGTCTGTGTGTCTGTGTGTGTGCGTGCGTGTGTGTCCTGTTTCTAAGGGGTTCCTGTTGGAGTCGTTCTTGTTGGAGTCGGACGCCACCATAGCAAGCGACTTGACGTTCAGCACCTCCGCTAGCTGCTGGCGTCCCGCTAGCGGAGTGAAAGACGATCAAGCGTGGCCTATGCCCAAACTCCTTTTGGGTTGCCTTTGGTTTTGCCCCTTTTGGTTTGCCACATGGGACGCGCCTCACGGCTTCACTGTCTCCCAGTGTACCGGCACTGCTTCCGAGCCACGGGCAGTGTCGACCCTCCGACACACTCGATTTTTTGAGATCTTTCCCGACTGACCTTTACCACTGACCTGCTCCACTGATTTGGACCTTTACCTGACTTCTCAGCATCCCAGGACTGATGTTTCACCCAAACCCTATCAAGAACCTCGCTGTAGACCCGTCTCCCATCAGGCATATCTGGCTCATTTGCGACGGCCCCTGATGAGGCGCCCTGACGTAGGTCCAATGTCCGGTCCAACTCGGCAGGACGCATGGCGACCTTCTTGGCGGGGCCCACACCTTTCAATCTCAAGCTCTTCTTCAGAAATCCACGTCTCCATCAGCGGTCACCTGACATTGGCCGTGGCAACGCCCACGGCATCCCCGGCCTCAAGTCCTCGCCCAAAGCCAACGCTCCCGCTGCCGTCTTCAGCAATGCGGAATTCTTTGATCCGGCCTGCGCCACACTACAGCATGGCACCGATCACTTTGTGCCTCACCTCTCGTCGCCTACATTCACCAGACTGGATCCGTCAGTAAAGCCGGTTCCTACTATCAGGTCCTCTACCACATCGGCATCACCTGTCAGGAAGTACCTAGTCCTCCACGCCACCCAGCCGCGATCAGTCTATTGGAAGCACCGGCATCACCTACGCCAACAGGGAGCGCGACTCGCAGAACCCGCTCTTCGCTCATAGATTTGGACAACTACGACAGCCCTCACTCAACTCGCCCTACATAGGCTGCAAGCACAAACGAGTCTCATCAGGACACACGGCTACCAAGTTCGTGCCAAATCGGGTACGCGAGGATTCAAGGAGCAAAATGCTCCTGACTTGTTTGATGTCCATGCCACAGGGCTCCCACCAAGTGAAACTCTTTGGGAGCAGCACCAAACTACAAAAGTTAAATTTGTGTGAACATTTTAGCGTATTGAACATCCATTTAACATTCAGCTTCCTTTAGTTTATTTGACTTTCATGGCTGTGCTATTGCTTTAGGCTCCTCTTAACTGTCGCTATGTCTTAGCGAGCCAGCGCTGATTCGGCGGATCCTTGCTTCTTCAGACCTCGCCAAAATGGCGCTGAATCAGGGAGCCTTTCAGCGCAGATTCGCAAGGTTCCTTGCCAAAACGGCGCTGAAACCACAGCTTTCCTTGCCAAAATTGACAAGGATTTACAATTCCTTGCGCTGAAAGAAGGACTGGGTGGTGAGGGTGATGACTCCGACCAGGTGTCGCTGGCGAGCTTGCCGAGGAGAACGGCGACCGCCTTGAGTAGGCGATGATGGCGCGGCCCGACTTCTTCCGCTTGAGGAAGACTTTTCCCAGTGGCCGTGGTCTGCTTGCGATAGGCCCACTTGTACTTCTTGCGGATGCGTCTAGGAACTGCCTCAAGGATGATGGCGTCAGCTTGCTCGGTGTCGAGGGTGGCAGGCTTGAAGGTGTTGGATTCCAGCCATGTGCGTTGACTGCCTTGGAAACACATGCACGGACAGTTGTGCATCAGATGATGGTTGTCATGATCTTCGTTGTAGCACATGAAGTCTTGATGGAGGTGGCGGCGGATGATGTTGAGCTGATGCTTTGTGAGCAGCTGGTGTCTTCGAGCGCGGGCGTGTTGCTCGTACTGGGTGTTGAGGAGGCTCATGAGAGGCGCGTCAAACTGATCCGTAAGCACCATTGACGCAGAGGACTCATGCGCCCGCTGCCGATAAGTTGGTGCATCTACATAGCTACGAAGCAAGGGCTGAAGTGTAGGCGTGAACTCATCCAGGCCCGCGGCCACATCATCCTGGAACCACGCGCATGCGCAAGTGTCCGGCCCGCAGCGAGCTTTCTGCTGGGGATGTAGTGCCCAACTGCAGTGGTGTAGCAGTAGCTAGAAGACCTTGTGTGGTGACCTGGCAGTTCGGGTGAGAAAGCCACGGAAGGCGTGGAAGGCGATTGAACTTGGGGGTTTGGAGTTGTCTGAACTTAAAGACGCGCTTTAAGAAGGTGCGGGCTCGATGCTCATGAGGTTGTTCTACATTGCCAGAGAGGCGGTATAGCGCATATATGGACATATCAAGGTCTGAATGCTGTGATAGTTGTCCCACGCTTCGATGTGCTCCAAGGTGAGCCTGGCGAGGATCATCACTGTGCAGCTGCGACGTAACCGAGACCATGGCTGATCGGACATATCCCCGCTGACCCGAATCAGCGCTGATTCAAACGAATCCTCGCCGGAAGGACTGGGCATCTGGAGCAACAAAAACGCCACTTTGCCGAGACCGACGAAGATGTGGAACTTTCCTTTCGCAATGATGACCTGGTTATGGTTGGCTTCTTCAACAGCGTCCCCCAGAATCAAGCGCGCGCATCAGTTTCCCCACTCCTTGCCGAGCATCAACAGCGGCAACCCGGCTCCACTTGCTTGGTGGAAACGTTGAGATCATGTCACCACAGCCGGGTCTTCACCGGCAAGCAGTCGTTCCGTCGCACACCCGCAACCCAGATCATGTACCTGGATGACATTGCAATGTCTAGCTTAAGGCGATGACATAAGCTATGACCCTGCCTGAATTGGTCCAGCAGCTGCAGCGCTGCCCTCAACACACTGCACTGGTGAGCGTGGCACTCGGCCGAGGCCTGTCGCCGCTGCTCACCATTGTTCTTGCTGCTTGTCCTGGAAGGAGCCTGCGCAGTCAGCTTTCAGCCCCCAGGCAGGGTTTTACATAGAGCCTGGCCGTTGCGCGAGCTGGTGAGGCTGCAGTCGCCTGTGTCGCAGGCGGCATACAATGGCCCTGCACCGCTAACGGAAATCAGAGGGCTTCAAGATGGAGGCGCGTTCTTCCCCCTTCGGGTGTGTGTGTGTGTGCCCCCTGCGTCTAAGGATCGAGTTCCTGTTGGAGTTGTTCTTGTTGGAGTCGGACGCCACCATAGCAAACGACTTGATGTTCAGTACCTAAGCTAGCTGCTTGCGTCCCTGATGAGGAGGGCTAGCAGACTGAAAGACGATCAAGCGTGGGCTATGCCGAAACACCAACTGGGTTACCTTGAGTTTCGGGCCCCTTTTGGTTTGCCACATGGGATGCGCCTCACGGTTTCACTGTCTCCCAACAAGCGTGTCTGCGTGTGTGTTTGTGTGTTGGTGTGTTGGTGCGTTTGTGTGTTTGTGTGCTTGTGTGTGTTTGTGTGTTTGTGTTTGATTGTGTTTGTGTGTTTGATTGTGTTTGGGTGTTTGTGCGTGTGTGCGTTTGTGTGTTCGTGTGTTTGTGTTTTTGTGTGTTTGTGTATTTGTGTGATTGTGTGTTTGTGTGTGCTTGTGTGCTTGTGTGTTTGTGCGGTTGTGCGGTTGTGCGTTTGTGCGTTTGTGAGTTTGT